TAGATTCATTATGTTATTTGCTATTATGTTTCATCGTATATGATCAATATCATATAAAAATACATACCATATTATTACATTTTATACGCAACTTCAATATTTTTATATTTTCAAAAACATACGAACATAAACATAAATTGTGCTTCAATTACTTTATTAGAAATCGTATTTTTCGTTGGGTTTGAGTGTTCGGCATCTACTAGTATTTAATTAATCTCAGTTTATAGGTGCTGATGACGATTCTTCAAATATGTTTGTAGTTTCACACTAATTTCATAATCATTTTCCAAAATTCAACAATGTTCTCACTTCATCCATACATTGCTAATCATCATTTTTCACTAAAGTTAACATCAGTTCACATGTGTCCCAAATAACGAAAAAACTTCTGTCATACACTTTTTGAGCTCCATTCTCATCGACTGTTAAATTCACCAGGTTTCTTTTATAAAACTTCAGTAATTTTAGCATCAAAAGCTGTAAATTAAATGATAAAGCCGTTACCAGTGGAGTTCAACCGGTCTGTTGTGAGATAACAACTCACTGAAGACAATGGTGTACGGTGGCGCAACTTCGTGGATTGGTTGAAGTTAGACATTAACACCGTTGGATGCCGGCTCAGTGGTCTAATGGTTAAGTGCTCGCGCGCGAAGCCAGTAGGTCCTGGGTTTGAATCCCGCAAGGTGCGGGATCGTGGATGCGCACTGCTGAGGAGTCCCATACCAGGACGAAACGGCCGTCCAGTGCTTCCAGGTTTTCAATGGTGGTCTAGCTTCAACTGACTCATGATTTAAAAACCTGTGAAATTTCGTAAATGATAAATCTCTATTTTATGTATGAAATTATATTTACGAAATCAGTGTCTGAAAAATAATTGTGAATGTTGTCATTATGCACAGATAGTATGCACAAAAGGTTTGTTCATAAAAGCTAAGCAAAGTTTACTTCAAATTGTGAAGATATTGATCATGTTTCTAGATTTCCCTATGTTTCTGAATAACATCATATCTGTTGCAGTATACTAATTAGTGTTTATTTTCATATTAAGGGAGAAATTAACTAATTGAACAAGAGAGCCCTTCAACTTTCAATTTTAAAGGTGTGTGTCTGTAAACTTCCTTACGGAAACAACTCAGAAGTAATGGGGTCATACAATTATGTTTTCTTATTGTATAAAATTATTAGGATGTAGTTGAGCATGGTTTATCAGTTTCAGTATTCCATTTTGATTTTTCCACCAATAGTGTTTCGAAAACACCATTGACGTAATGGTAATGCAAATTTATCGTTTAGAGATAAACGTTCCAATGTTTAGTATGTAAAAGAAAGTGTTCTGTCATACTATGAAAATAGGCCAACCAAAATGTTCTTAGTCATTTATCTTAACTTATTTTGATAAATTGAAATTTGATTTGTGTATAAAAGACTAGCATAAACATATGATTAAACTCATGATGGTATTTGATCATACGTGTTTTCGAAACTTTGATCGTATATCCTGGGACCATCGAGTTAGTAATACAGTTGTTAAGAAATGAGTACTAGGTAAAGATGGCAAATCAATTGATGACGTAGTGAAACTTCATCAGTTGAGATGGCTGGGACACGTGTTACGTATTACCCAACCACCGACTGCCTCAACGTGTGATGATTATGGTGTAGGAGTAGGTTGGAAGAAAGCTGGGGGCGGTCAGACCAAAACATGGCACAAGTCCATGAAGTCACTGACAAGTGGACTGAGCCATGTTGGTAGGTGTAGACTACTTGGTTGGGGACCGTGAGATGATAGCAACCGATGGTTATAGACCTTGAATGACATGGCTCAAAATCGTTTGCAATGAAGCAAGTGCATCCACTCTTTGTGTTCTCCCAAATTCTAATCTTCTGAATTCTTCATGTTCCTTTTTCTTCCTCTTTTCAAATTTATTTCGCTGGATTATACTCCTTGAATAACATATTCAAACCATAATCATTCTGAATACTGCTTATACTTTGACTACCTCTACCGATATGGGATTTGAATCGACAATTGTATCTCTGTGCTAATATGGTATGGCAATTCGAACTGATGTACGTGCATACGAAGTTCTAAGTTGTTACTGACTGACTGACTTATTCAGTGTTTCCTTAAATATTTAGTTTGCTAAAGCACTTCAAATGTATTCCATCTTTTATCTTGAGTGATTGCTTTGAGAAACCTTATTATTAATTCAAACGTACGTTGATTGGCTACTTATTAGTATCCAATGTTATTTTCTCAACTCCTCGGCGCCGATTGAATTTTAGAAAGTATATATTGATTTTACTAGTAAACTAAATGAATCGATATCACAATGTACCAAACCTTATGCTAGGTAGTTGAAGACCGTTATACTTCTTTTCAATTCTTTATTCATATTAAAACTGTAAGGAATTCGTAAATTTGAGAAATCAGTGTATGTCTACACAGAAATTCACTAAAAATACTGAATACCGTAACGGTAATCTAATCATCTTACGTGTTTACAGAAAGTGCTACTATGTTTGTACTGAATTAACTATTGCTAATATTTAATATATAGAGTTTATCAAGTTACTTAGGATGTTAAACAACAGTAATTAAATTCGAGCAGTAAAAGAATTACCTCAGGACAAATAATGAAATAACTGACTTGATTACTCACTTACTTACGCCTGTTACCCCTTGTGGAAGAACATAGGCTGTGGAGGCTAGTTTCCTCTATGGCTGACTCCAATAAATAATATCCTGTTAAATCAGTATTTAATGCAGGCTAAATCTTCTAGTAGAATTATAGATTTACTCGAGATTATTCAAAAGCCTGAGCACCAGACACAGAGGTAGTTTATTGTTAAGGATTGCTAAAATCAGCAAGTGTACACGGAGCAACCACACAGGGAAAACAAGAGTATGTGTGTGTTAAAAATCCATATATATTTTTGAGTGTTAATCAAGTATGGATAAATTATTGATTGTCTATGTATTACAACCAATGGGAGAATAGGTTAAAAATTGACATGTGCTCAATCAGAAAATTACATTGTGGACCGAATGTCTAAATTACAGTGGTCAGATAAATAATACAGTAGTTGGATTGGATTACTACAAGGCTGCTCACCAGCACTCTCCGTCCAACTCTATATTAGGTACTCCTTTCCAGGTCTTTCCGGTTGCTATTCATTCTTTTCATGTCTGCTACCGATTCCCAATGTAGTGTGTTCTATAGTCCTCCTCTTTTCCGTTTTCCTTGAGGATTCTAAGTTAGTGCTTGCCTCGTGATACAGTTTAGTGATTTCCGTAGTGTATGTCCTATCCACTTTCAATGTCTTTTCATGATTTCCTCCTCAGATGGGACCTGATTTGTACTTTCTCACAGTAGGTTGTTGCTGATGGTATGTGGTCAACGGATGTTGGGTTTCTAGCGTAGACAACTTTTTATAAGTACTTGTACCTTCTTGATGATGGTTGTAGTAGTTCTCTACGTTTCAACACTGCACAGTAGGACTGTTTTGACGTTCGTATTGAAGATTCTGACTTTGATATCGGTTGATAGTTGTTTTGAGTTCAATATGTTATTCACTTGTAGGAATGTGGCCCTTACTTTTAGAGAACTTGATTCTATGAATTATTGGATCTTTTTTCATTAACTTTCAATACAATTTTACTGTGGTCTTTAAGTTTCCTATTTTGTCAACGAAGATCCTTAATAATGAAGTTAAAATGTTTATAACTGTCAAATGTGACAAGTAAACATACATTAAATCACAACTGGATTACAGTGTTAAAAAATATTTCTTGTCAAAGTGAAACAGAAAAAACTAGGCGTTTATCATTTGAGATTCATATTTAAAATATTCTCGTTCGTTTTTGAATTTAATATACATTAAATTCAAGTCGATGAAAAAGTTCTGAAGTGATAATGTGAAGTTTTAATATCTATAATTCCATAGAATTCGAAATTAGAGTAAAGAATATACAAAGCACCTCTACCCTACGTATTTGTGAATTAGATCCAAGAACATAGAATAGATATCTGAGTAAACTAATGTGGATGAAGAAGGATGCTGTTGTGACTTTAAGCCCGGCTTTTTATCACGTGATTTATTCACCAGTCTAAATACAACTTATTTACTCTTGTACTGAGCTAAACCCATAGCGTTTGACCGGTATGAGCAGTCTAGCGTCCTTATTGGTCTTTTGCTCCCATAGCCCGTCCAGTTAATTTCAAAAACACGCTTCCGCTATGCGTATCATTTATTTCAAACATACTTGGTTTATATACCATCCGAAAAGACCACATCACACTATAAAGTAGGAAATAACATTTATACAAAATGTGGCTGTGAACGTGGGAGACTGTAATCAATAAACTGAACATAACTTAAGGACAGTAAATCGTAAATTAATAATCTATAAGTCAAAATGAAGCTTATATTAAGCGAAACATAGTTACACATAGTCTAGTTACTGAACAGTTATTCAATAAGAATATATATAATTTATTAATAGTTCTCAGAGGTTACTCGTAATTTAATCTTCACTAGGATATAAAAGATACTTCACCAATCTCAAGTAGTACACTGAATATATAATTATTATTTGTTTTTTAACGCATCCAAATTACAACTATCTTCATTATAAACGAGTAATACTATAAGCTAGTCAATGAACCTTCATGTATATTTATTCTAATATGTGAAGTATAAATATATCTTATTATGCTTGAAACAATATAGTAGTTTGATACCTCTATAAATGAGACAAACAAATAAAAGTCTTAGTAAACTATTTTTCCTCTCTTCATTTGATTATATTTAAAAGTAATGTTTATTTATGCTTGTGAAAGCAAGTATGTATTATAATGAAATGTTTGTTGGTGGTTTGTTTTGTTGTAATGTCTTTTATTGACAGAACGAAATGGAATATTCGTTAAGTTGAATAAATACATTAGTAAATAATATAAATTCTACTCTATAAACAAATTCTTTATTTGCCATTTCAGTAACATTTTACAGTTGGAATATAAAAATTACATTACAAAATAATCAGAGTAATACAATTCAACAACTAGGTTCAATAGATTATCCTAATAAAAAGAGTACTATAATTATTGAAGCTTCATGGGATGAAACTGATAAGAATCAAACTCAAGTTATGGTTCAGGCTGGAGAATCAAAAATATTTATATGCAGTATATGGACTTTAGAATCAGATGATAACCATGATTTCGACTCAGGAACTCATGAAACTGAACAATCTGTTTTCTTATTTTGTCCAATGAGTGTTGCATACTGTGCTCAGGATTGTTTATTGGTGGATTCTACATGGCTACTTCAGTGTACCAGACAATTTAGAATAGTCCCTAATCCTGAATTATTATGGACCTCACAATTGAAGAATTCAAAGATTACAAAAGGTTGGCGTTTGCAAGAAGTTATTTATAAACTGGATATTGCTACAACTAGTTCTGCCGGATTTTGGGGCTGCACGTATGGTGGCTATCGCTCTAATAGCTTGGAGCTAATTGTGAGAGGTAAAAAAATTCAGATTTCCGGAGTTAATTATTCATCAGCTAATAACTATCAGTTATTAGTATTTATTAAACATATTCGCCCTCATCTTTTCACTGTATAATACATGAAAGAATATTTATGGTGAGCTATATAGAACTCAAAAATAAATATTAGAGAAACTAGATTCCCACTTGTTACCTAAATTATAGAGTTTATATCTAGAAATTTAATTGGATTGTCATAACAATGACTGGTTTTTTTATCACTCATTTAAAGTCGGTTACTCATGAATCAGTTGAGGATCATCATTTGATCATTAAAATGATGAACTTGAATTTATCACTCTTCAAAAAAAAGTTTGTGACACACCCACAACCTAGTCCTACCAGAAATAAAGTTTATTCTAGAATACTCTCGTCGGTGTCCACCTCTTTGTAACCAATCGTTTGGACTCATTAGTACTTTCGTGAAATTTATTGAATTTTCTCGGATTAACCTCCCATCCATTAATTATGACATGAAAAAGAGTGAAATATCATTCAATGTGTATTTGATTAGTAATGATCAGATAAGAGCAGACAATCATTCTTCAGATAGACTGATAGAACAAATTATGTAGGATGTTTCCTACCGGGATAAACTCTATTAATTATATGACAGAAAACATCAAGTGCACATCTTTAAATCTGCATAAAAATGTGGGATCACTTCTAAGTTATTATGAGAATAAACGTCCAGCATCAAATGTAAGAACATATTTAAATAGTGTTTCAGATCAATCGACCTAAACTCAGTTGTCTAAATAAAACAACAATATTCATAACATGATATGAAAATGAGTCTCGAAACTATAGCTGATTTAAAGAAAAGTTTTAGCTACTGACAAATTAGATGCTACATGTCTTCAAGATCTGTAAATAGTCAATAATAAAGAGGAAGAACTGAATTATTTCCTTTCATCAAAAGAAAGTCCCGGTTGATTAGTCAGCACTTTGCTGTAGTAGAACCAAATAAATTTATTAAATAACTGTTAATTGGATATCTGAAAATAGTTAATGGTACTTGGCGTCTGTTTATAAAATATAAAATGCAGCTTTTACTATCGATTAAATTCTTTAAGATGAATAACTTATTGTGTAATTATGGTCTTTTAGGCAGCTCACCTTGAAGTTATACTAGCTTTTAGATAATTATGTCAAAACATTGATGGTGGCAATTGCAATGTCGATATTCTCTGTAAATAATTTCAAAGATGATTCTGTGATTGATTATCCAATGATAAATAAATACAGTCGATTAAATTCATGATTATATTATAAATGGAAAGTTGAAGAATTTAAAATAACCATTTGATCATGTTTTTCACCATACATTTAAATGAAACCGCTGATTATGTAGCTGATAACTAATTTTAGCAACTTTGTTTATAAATTAACTTCATTATATTGATAAATTTAAACTTAAAAGGTTGATATTTTATTTCGTTTGAATTTTGGCGTCGTTTCAAATTAGAAAAAAATCAGTTGTTCATAGGTGATTTCACATTTTGGCGTCATAAGTGATCGGATATTTTCTTTGCTTTAAATGTAGTTAACCTCTGATTTATGTAGCATTTTTATGTATAAATGAGATCTTTCATGCACTCATATTTTTCTTTTTCCCCAAAATCATCTTTCTGAGCTACAAATTCAAACTTTGTGCACTCCGGTTGATGAGTGCACAAAATATTACTTGTGGATAACGACATGATGAACATAACCAAGCCAATGTAGGAGTCTGTACGCTCTCCAATCATTCTTGTATATTGTAGTACCTGGCTGCAGCCAGTGTTACTGGTGCTTTAATTATCCAGTTCGCAATAATTGTCATAATTTGCCGTAGTTAGGAATTATATATGCGGTTTTCATCACGAACTGACATCAGCTATAATGCCAGAAATCTATTTAGCCAAGTGGATGAAAGGCTTTCACGCCAAAATCCAAGATGTGTTAGCATTAAGCACTGAAGTTGGCGCCGTAACCTTAAAATCTTTCAAATGCTTCTGATTGGCTCGTACATAAATTAGAGTCTCGCCATGAGTTGAATTAATTGAAATCTATGCATATGAAGGGTGAAAACATTCATGACAGTGTTATGCATTTTAAAATTTTGATATTAATCTGGACAAGTGATTAAAAAATATCTAGCACTACTCTGTTTCAGCAATGATTCATAATACAGTTGTATGTTTATGTGTGCCTTGGGAAATTTTTAACTGTTGGTTGAATATAACTTAGAAATGACGATATACGTATGTATATTAAAACATTGTTTTCTATATTGACGTATGAAGCTGGTGCTAATCAAATCACTTGAAAAATCTTAACAAGAAACTTTGCGACTAACAGTGTATATTGTTTGTTCGATAACATGAACGGATCATTGGAATGGAACAAGAATCTTCATCCTTAGTCGTTTAGAAAAATGGATATCAACATGCTATTTCCTGGTTTGTCAAGTACAGAAACATGATAGTTCTAAAATATGATGTTCAGGTTTCAAAATAAATTCGGCACTTTATAATGATTATTTACCTCAACGTGTAATCATATTTATAAAAATCCAAAACTCATTTTCCTATACATTAAGATAATTGTTAATTGTATCCTAATCATTCGGCAATCAAAACTTGTTATCTAACTATTTGACAGTAATTCTATACCTATATATATACAGCTAGAATATTTTAAGCGTAGCGTATGACAAGTATTTTAATCATAGGGAGGAGTTCATTAATAATGTATATAACCAAACAAGTGATGACAATATTTTCATATACTGATAATCAATCTAGAAACAAGTATACGTTGACATTGACTTAAATATAAATGGATAAAATATGAGCAGAAATTAAGATATCAACCTGAATGGCCACAGATGCAAATGAATTTTAATGTTTAAATCACATCACAGGATAGATAAATATATTACACCACTGAGAAACATTTGGTTGAGACCCATCATTGGGTTAATATAAAGTTGGTCTTTGTAGTTGTATACAAAAGTTTTCAAGGGCCTGGAGATACGAAAACTGAACCCTTTTGATATGTTCCACAATTGATCCTGGTAAAGGTTTATTGCTTCATGTGAAACGATTTTCTGAAATTTGTTTGACACATCGGTTGACATAATAATTTTAATATATTCCCAGTTGTTGATTCATTTTTTATAATTACAGATAGACCAGCACTCCTATATTTGACCTCAAGTCCGCCTAACCCTGTTAAAATTGGAACTAATGTTAAACTAACATGTGAGGCTGCACCTAGTCCGAAAGCTCCATGGTACACGTTTGTCTGGCGCCGAATAGGAACTCAAATGCCACCTGCTCATTCAACCTTGCGTATATCTGATACAATCTCCGTATTGACACTTTTATCTGTACAACCGTCTGACGATGGAGTATATAGCTGTCATATATTACAATCTCAATCGAACTCATTGAATGAAGAAATGTGGGAAGACAGTGAAAACGTGACTTCGGGATCAAGCAAATCATCTGAAAAACTAAGATTTAAAAAAGATCCAACAGTACGTCGATTACACTTGGAAGTATTTCGTGAGTGATCACTTTTGTCTCACATGTTTTTAACTTAAAATCAAATGAATATGTTTAGTTCCAAGTGTCAAGTAGCACGAAACCCGGGTCCAGGGTTTCCTGTTGACTACCTCCAACCACCTTCTAAATCTCAATACATAGTGCCCGCAGTGTCGAGTCACCTAGAATGGTGGCCACATTGCAACACGATCGACAGCATTCGATCTGCACTAATAAGGACTAGACAAGCATGACATTGATCACCACCCAGTGATCAATCAATTGTGATTACATCTCAGTCCTACAGTAGGTTAGTCACGGCTCGGAGAGCTCAGCGGTAACGTCTCTGACTGTGAAGCTGGGTGACACGAGATGGAATCCGCCAGGGAGCACCAGTTCCCTCAAGATTACAGGTACACCTTGCTGACGAGTGCCAAGTAGCACGAAACTCGGGTCCAGGGTTTCCTGTTGACTACCTCCAACCACCATCTAAATATGTTTAGTTCGTTTGTACAGTTTTTAAAGATGGTTATGTATATTACGATACCCTGAAATGTGGACTTTGTCCACTTTATTTAAATTATATTGATACAGTACACTGTTTTACAATTTCAATTTCGGCAATAAATTTATACAAAGATAAAGGCAAAGCCTATTGACATTGACCTTTTAGTTGTTCATCAAAATATCTGAACAGTTTTTATTAGTTCATCAGATAGTTCTAAGTGTATTGCCTTAATATGTCCATATATTTTTCATAAATATCATCTCCTTATTAAGTGTTCTAAGTCACTCAAAATAATCTATTATACATTTTCTCAAAGAAAACTGCTCGTTTCATAAACTTTCCAAAATAAATCAATTCTAAAAGTTGTTGTTAATGTAGGTTTGATTGCAGAGTTTTGATAAGGTCTGCGTAAAACATTATAGTATGTAGTAGCACTTTATCCTGTAAATTATCAGCAACTTAAATATCAATTAATATACGAAAATCGGAGTTCAGATGTCTGAGAAGATTTGAGGTCCATAAGGATTATTTTAGTAGAGTTGCATTCTCTAACTTGGGTAGTTTTATCTTGAAGCTTTCGTTGTCTTCCTAGAACAACTAACTTCCAATCATTTGTTTTGAGCCACTGATAACTTAAAGCTTTTCATTTATTTGAAGTCAGAAATATTCATAGCTTTAGTTAAAAATACATATGAAGTCAAACAAACATTATTTCATGTAGGTGATGTGTGGTGACTTTTTCATACTGAAGATAGCTTCCAACAGTAAATGAAATCAGACACTAACAAATGCCTTACTCTAAATCGTAGTTCTTCATCAATGAGCACCAGTAGCTCAATACAAGAGATTATTTAGTATATCTTACAGTCTTACAATCAAAACGATATCATTTATCCGTTAAATTTTTTCTAAGTTAGGTCATTTTGCTAAATGGGGAACATCGCTTAAAGATCAGTGGGCAATGGCTTTTGGTGATTCTTCATATCATTCTATCCCGAGGTAGAATTTATTTTGCAAGCTTGATCCTTTATAAACCTAGGTACCTAGATAAAATGAAATACTAATTCCTGGTATGGGACTCATCAGCAGTGAGCACCATCGGCTCCATACGCGGAGTTCAGACCGAGGAACTCTAGTCTCACGTATATGTACTGAGTATATGCATTAATTGCTTCAGAAGGCGATCAGAAGCTAGTAAGTTAAACAAACTCATGTTTAAAAAAAAGAAGCATGTAAGTGAATGTTGACTTTTTTTAAGAATTTACTCGTACAAAGTGGATACTTTTGATACTTAAGTTCTAGGACTCCTGATGAAGGTCAAGTATAATACACCTTCGTAACGTGTCTCTTAGGATTAATAATCTTAGCGAATCCCTTGGTAAAGAACACATGACAGATATTCTGTAAATAAATATAAACCTTTCATTGGCGTTATTGGCAGGTATTACCATACTTTATATTTGCGCATCTGATCCGCTAAATCTTATGGTTAAAATCTTTCGTTTTGATTTCTTTTTTTAACTCAGATCCCCCTACTTCCTTAAATATAACTGTTCATCCTCATGGACCTTATAGAGCACAAACAAATGTCACATTCATTTGTCATATACATGGTGGTAAACCAAAGCCATTGATTTACTTTTATCGGATAAATGCTCCGCTTGATAATGGAAATATTTCATTGATTCGTTCAAGTTCTTTCACCTCGAAACATATCCTAGAAAATATAACTCAAACAACAGAATCCACAGAACTAAAGTGGCAATTAAAAGAAGCTGATAATACTGCCAGTTTTGGATGTGCTGCAACAAGCCCAATCATTAAAGATCAAATGTTCTCGCTATTTATTAAAGTTAAAATTATTTGTGAGTACTATATATATACTTTTGTTTGTTGTGAATTAAAGTAAAAATATTTTTCGAACAACTTTAAAAAAATTTATTTATTAAGTTTTTATGTTCCAGATGTAAAACGATTCTAAATTTCTATGATGAGTTTTCCTTTCATAAGGCTCGCTTGAGTATAAATTGTATTCTAACTGTTGCAGAAGTAATAAAAATTAACTAGTTAAAATGTATTGCCAAAAAATGGAGGCGATCACTAGAATTAAGAATATAGAAATTTCATCATTATGTACTTAGTTAAACCTGCTCTCATGATGACACCATGTTGGTTAGAGATGTGATATAAAATCATAAAATTTATTTACCTCTTTATTTTTATCTGGACAGATTATCATTTGTTCGAATAAAATTACTAGAACACGAACTCATTACTGATCACTCAAAACGGTAAAAAAAATTATTCACAAGACAGTAGTTATATAAGTAGAGATGGATTGTGGCTTGAAGTGGAATACAGGACACGTGTTTCGTCCTATTTAGGACTGGTCAATTGGATTTACTTACATCTCAGGATTGATGCTCACTCCGGAACTAGTACCATTTGGTTAAAATGCCATCGCGTTATCCACTTAGTTACTAACTTCAAAGAGCTCCTAGCTTGTTCAAAGGGTTGAAGTTTAATTCACTTTTGTATTGATTGTTTGATTCTTTCCAATGATGTTTAGGACTGTAATTGATCAGTCTCTCATTAACATATGTGCGTTCTGTGTGGATTACCTCAGTGTTGCCTTAAATCACAAGCATTATGAGCAGAAATAGATAGTGTATTTAGGTCAAAAAGAGATTGATCAATTGTAGTCTTAAACGTCAATGAGAATTATCAAACAGCCAATACAAAATTGAACTGTAGATCATTGTTGATATATTTATTTATGAAAGAAAGATGATATAACAATGTTGGCACACAAAATGCTCATTGGAATGTTTCAATAATAATATAAAATCCTTTTTTTTAAAGGAAAGAGTCATAATCTATTTCATAAAAGTTACTGATTAACAGGTTTCACTTTCACTGGAAATCAGTGCACTAAAGCATATTCAAATGAACCCTGGAAACTCTATCCTGAAAAATGATGACGATTATCATCGTTAAGTTAAATTATGAAAATTACAACAAATATTGAAGTACCAAATAAAATAATATCCAATATTGAAACAATCTGATCCAATCAATAAAGTTAAGGAATACAGACTTATAAGGACGACATTCTTACAAACGAATTAATATTTACTTTGCATTGAGGATTACGGGAACGTTTTCTTTGTTCAAGACTTCACAGTTATAACCGATTTCAATGGTTAAGATCATGAGTCAGTTGGATCTAGACCACCATAGAAAGCCTAGAATCACTGGACGGCCGTTTTGTTCTATTGTGGGACTCCTCAGTAGTGCGCATCCACGACCTCGCCCCTACGAGACTCGGACCCAGGACCTACTGGTTTCGTACGAGAGCATTTAACCACTAAACCACTGAGCCGGTATCCAAGGGTTTTAATGTCTAATTTCAACTAATCCCCGAAATTGAGAGACATATCCATCATTGTCTTCAGTGAGTTACTATCTCACAACAGACCTGGTTGAACTTCACTGATCACTACTCCTAACTAGAACTCCAGGATATACCTCTTGAAGCCACTGAAGACAATGGTGAATGTGTCGCTCGATTTCGTGGATTAGTTGAAGTTAGACATTAATACCGTTGGATGCCGGCTCAGTGGTCTAGTGGTTAAGTGCTCTCGTACGAAACCAGTAGGTCCTGGGTCCGAGTCTCGCAGGGGCGAGGTCGTGGATACGCACTACTGAGGAGTCCCACAATAGAACAAAACGGCCGTCCAGTGATTCCAGGTTTTTCATGGTGGTCTAGATTCAACTAATTCATGGTCTTATCCATTGAAATTACTATAATATCCACAATAACCCGTCTGATATTACCAATTTGTCAAATTCCCATTATTAGACAAATATTTGAAAAACAAACAATTAACAGACAAATCAATAATTTAAAAATACAAATAATTTATTTTAGGGAAGTACAGTTCATTTTTCTTATGAGAACTTAAAAACACATTGGTATTAATACTGATGTCGACTTTTTTGAACGACGGCCCTTTTTCAAACTGTTGACCAACGACAATGGTCTAGCATTTATTGAATACATTAAACAGGTAATTATTATTGCTGATTAAGTGGTGTTTGTCGACAAAGTGAATAAGTGATAATCCAAGATCATTAGTAAGATTCGATTTCTAAGTATACATATATATTGTAATCAACGAAATTGTATTAGTTAAAACATTCTCTAATAACCTGTTTTCTTTATGGTTCATAATTAAGTGGACAAATACACGATCAGGTTTATTTGATTATATTATCAATGTATGTGGTTCAAATTAAGCTTAGAATTCTAGATATCATAAATGGGTTATTTACCTGTTTATGTAACAAAGTAATCAGTTTAAAAGTTTCAGATGAATGTTTTCATCGAAAAACTAGGTTTCCTATGTCTTTGTGGAGAATATTTTCAACTAATTGAAAACAAAGTTTATTCTTTCTTTTATCTAATTTTAATGAAGTGGTGTATAATAAATTATTTAGGAATATTATTTATCTAAAATTACTTAGGCGAACTACAGAAAAATAAATTTTGAACTCGCATAACTTCTGTGTTCACAAAATTGATTATGTCTTATTCTGATTATAGTTTCACCTCAAGATCCTATCCTGTCTTCCGTACCACATGGTCCAGTAAGTGAAAATCGTACTAAAGTATTTACATGTCAGTCTTCAAAAGGAAGCAATCCAAGAGCGAAAATTTTATGGGAATTGACACCTGCAATGGAGTATTTGTCTACAGTATCAAAAAGAAGTTCTAAATCAAATGAAAAAGAAACAGTCATGAAACCAACGACAAATTCTGACTTTGAATATATTATGTCGGACATCTATTCGGATACCAGACACGATCCCAACAATGGAGGTTATATAGCATACAGTGAAGTACGTTTGATTGGACGACCATGGTTTAACGGTGCACGGGTATCTTGCCACTTAATTTGGAATGAGGAAGGAAACTACAATGTGAAACAAGTTTCAGAAGATACCAATCATATGATTACATATCAAAAAACAGCTTACCTTCTTACCGAAGTATTTTGTGAGTTGATATTACTGACTCAAAATATTTCGAATTTTTTTGTTATTTCAGTGATACCATAAACTAACAACCTTTTAAAAACCTGAATCATAATAGATATCCAGTGCCATAAAATGCTAAATACAATTCATTAGTGATTAATATTTGATGCTAGGCTTGTCTATAAATAATCGGAAGGCATGAAATCAAAGAAATATTTGTCATCTAAGTAAACATGTGACATCCCCTCGATCATTTCGTCGATTTAAGAAAATGGCATTTGTTTGTTAAACCTAAACTCATTTTTAACTTTATCCCTGTTTAATATTAGAACGTACAAACCTGCGTAAATGATATGCTTAATCAGTAAATTTTGTGATATTTTAATGTTAATTCACTGAGTTATTGGTAGACTGAATTGAAAAAACAAAATGTTTCACTTTAGCTAAAATGGTTTTTTTTCGAAAATCATTAAGCTATATGAAATGTCATGAAGAAATATGCAATTTTCGCACAACATATACAGCTTCTCATGTTCCTGGCATAAAATTATTGTGATATGATCCCTGTATAATTATCAACGTTCTTAAGATAAGATTTTAGGACAGTACTAGTTGTATAATCCACAATAAATAGATAGAAAATAGTAAGTCATAAAACTTAGTTCGTTTAGTTACTGATTCGTATTCCAAATCTATTTAATCGAATTTCCAGTATTCATATTGTCAAACAGATTAAATAAAGTAAGATTGTAGGACCTAAATTGTGCTGGTATTTTATATTAAGTAGTTGAATTTCTGTATCTTAGGAGACAACCCTGTTCACTCCTTAAAATGACCAATTTTGTTAGAATAGAGTATTTTTATTAGTTTACATGATTTATTAGAAGCAAACCACCGATTGTAACATCACGAATCAAACTGATGAACGTTGTTTAGTCGTGTGACACACTTTAACTCATGTTTTAATTTATGTAGTATTCATTAATGTATACGTATTTACCAAATCTAAAATTAATTTAAGCGTATGAAAGTTAACATATCACATATTGTAGGTAATGAGAAACAGCTGGAAGAAACTGTACTCATACAGTACTGCTTTGGTGTATCCAGTTAATTAATTTACATATTTTCATACCTGAGATTTAGATGGTGGTTGGAGGTAGTCAACAGGAAACTCTGGACCCGGGTTTCGTGCTATTTGGCACTCGTCAGCAAGGTGTACCTGTAATCTTGCGGGAACTGGTGCTCCCTGGCGGATTCGATCTCGTGTCACCCAGCTTCACAGTCAGAGACGTTACCACTGAGCTATCCGAGCCGTGACTAACCTCCTGTAGGACTGAGATGTAATTACAATTGATTGATCACTGGGTGGTGATCAATGTCTTGCTTGTCTAGTCCTTATTAGTGCAGATCGAATGCTATCGAGTCACCTAGACTGGTGGCCACATTGCAACATGATCGATAGCATTCGATCTGCACTAATAAGGACTAGACAAGCAAGACATTGATCACCACCCAGTGATCAATCAATTGTAATATTTTCATACCATCAAGCATCAGGAATACAACTGAAAGTAAATCTTTTACCTATAAAAAAACTGTATCCACATCGTAATTATTCTCAAAGTAGGTGAATTAAGCTATGCACGATCCCATCCAAATTCACTAATATATAATGGTAATTTGATTAACAATGTCGTACTGCATAGGGACTGAGTGACACATGGTTTTTAAGAGTTATAAAAGATTGTTTAATGTTCTTGTCTGATGAATAATTTATTCATAAATGATACCATGAATATATTACCAAAGTAAACAAATGAAATACTTTGGAGATTTCATCCATCAAATCTATCAGTCGTATAGTATGTTTCGAGTACATTGCTTGTGAATATAGGAAGACATTTTTGCATTTAACAGATGTTTTGGCAAATAAATAAGAAGTATTTAAACAACCATACTTATGATAGAAAAAAAGACTGTTTCCAAAGTAAATTGGGGATGGTTTTGTTTCAATGAATTTTATGTCCACCAAAATCTTATAATAAAATTCATTTATTTAGAACAAATTAACATTATTGCTCAAGATTATAAAAAAATAATTTAAATGTTTTATTTCCGGTATAGTTTGTCCATCAGCAATTAATTTGATTGCAATTCCACAAAATGGAATTCAAGAAACATTTGGTGAGCAAATACTTGAATGTACAGCCACATCATCTCATCCTCCTGCAATGATCACTTGGTTCAGAAATAATTCTTCAGATAATGTACAAAAGATCACTACAGAAAGTGTAATGATGGAAAATTCTTTGATAAAAATTGATACAAATTACCAACCAAATTTGAAAATTACAACTGAAACAGTAAGTGCATTTTATGTATTTTAAAATTAATTATAAAGTGATAAATATCCATAAATTACCTAAGCCATTTATAGAAAGTAAAAGTTTCGTGAACCCCTAGACATTTTAAAAATGAACAAAATAAAAAAACCTTTACGAAAATAGCTCTAAATGAATGAGTTTTGTTTAACCAAATAAAGTATTATGTTTAATGAAAGAACATAACAGTTATTTCTTACTTTACTATTACATCATATAATGGTTCAATATCTTAGACTTAAGAAATGAACTCATCATACCTGTTCTACCTCTAAACAACGTAATAATATCTAATAATCTTATTGTATCTCATCACCTACTTACTTACTTACGCCTGCTACTCCCAATGGAGCATAGACCGCCGACCAGCATTGTCCAACCAACTCTGTCCTGGGTCTTCCTTTCCAGTTCTACCCACGTTTAGTTCATCCTTCTCTTACCTGTCTCCATGTCCCGGCGTAATGTGTTCCTTGGTCTTCCTCTCCTCCTTTGGACTTCAGAATTCCGTGTGAAGGCTTGCCTTGCGACACAGTTAGGTGCTTTCCTCAATGTATGTTCTACCCATTTCCACCGCTTCTTCCTGATTTCTTACTCCGCTGAGATCTGGCTTGTTCTCTCCCACATTTGGTTGTTGCTAATAGTGTCTGGCCAACGGATCCGAAGTATTTTGTGTAGACAACTGTTAATAAACACTTGTATCTTCTGAATGATGGATTTCGTTGTACTCCAAGTTTCCGCTCCATACAGTAGAACTGTCTTGACGTTTGTAATGAAAATCCTGATCTTGCTGTTGGTTGACAGTTGTTTTGAGTTCCAGATGTTCTTCAGTTGTAAATATACTGCTCCACCTGTAGTCCTTCCGGAGGCTACTGCCGGTCCCAAGCCCGGATAAAGGAGGATGGTTCGGCATGGGGTTAGCGACCCCATCCTGTTGAATACTAACTCGCTTAAAAAACGCTAACCAGTATCTAATGACTTATTTAAAATATATAACTATTTGTATAAGTTACAAATTAACTAAAATATGTCAATGGATTACATCTTTTTTTGTTGAAAGAAGATTAATTATCAGAATACCCTGTAGTCAAACAAAACATCCTATCTTCATCTTACTTTGTGATCTTGCAGATTCTGTTCGATACATTTAAAAAAATTCATCTTTCTAGTTGTTACAATTATGACTTTAGAGGATTTATAATACTATAGATTAATATACTGCACTAAATTAAGCTGCAATAAGGAGTAAACCATGTATATTAGACGTTACATTTTGATATTATATCAGATAAATACCTTTAAAATGAATATGATTTAACACATTTCATTGTTTTAATAGTATAAAAAAAGTATTTGACATTAGTTAAACTAGAAAAAAAATCTGTAAATTAACTTTAAACATTTTCTGTTTAACAATTTCCAAGGCTTTTTATCCTTTGACATTTTAGAAAAACAAACCACAATAATTAAGATAAAACCTTTAAAGTTTATTATTAGTCACCAACAAATCCATTAATTTAAATATTGTAAAAAAAAAAGTAGAATTATATTGTAGATAAGAAAATAAATAAAAGATATTACCTTGACGGATTTTTCACTGTATTGGACAATGTAATTTCTAAATGTGTCAATGGTATTACAAGGTATATTCTTCTTTATTTAACTCTAGTATTCATTTTAAAAGTAAGAATTTAAAATAGTGAAATAATCGTATTTCAATATGCATCAAATTAACGAAGTTTTAATAATTCCATTGAATGATAGCTCAGTGGTCTAGAGGTTAAGTGTTTGTGCGCGAGTCCATTAGGTTCTAGGTTTGAATCTCACGAGGCGAAATCGTTGATGCGCACTACTGAGGAGTCATGCGGCAAGATGAAACGGCCATTCAGTGCTTCCAGACTTTTTATGATGGTCTAGCTTCAGTTGACTCATGAATTAAACTGTAAAATTTTATGGTTGGTGGAAGAATATTTAGGAAAAAAGGTATCCAAGATACATAAATTGCTAGAATACATGAATTACTAGTGGATTTCTTGTAACAAAATGAGGGTTGAAACTTGATCGCTATAGTAGCTTGTAATTTAAATTAATGTTGAAAAACAACATGGTAACTTCATATTTTAACTTTAAACTCTTCAGTTCATTATGTTATCATTAATAGATTAGAGTATTTATTTATGATTTCATCAACTTCAAGAAATGATATTGAATCACTTTTGTGAATCTGATTATGTAAATAATAATTAAAGATTTTATCAATATACAGTAACAATTATATTGAATAATAAACCAACTGATTTCGAAACTCTTATTAATTTAGATATTATCCAGGTTAAATTTAGTAGATAACTTTAAGTGATATCTTTTATCGTTTAAATCAATTATATATCTTCTTTAGAACACTTTATTATGTTTATGAATAACTAAGCAACTGATGAAACATATGGTTATAGTTTTTCAAAATATATTTATTTACATGTTTCAAGTTGAAATAATAAACTATTCCCTGTGGTGATTGATCACTTAGTACATTTTGTTTTAATAATATACGTGTAAACATAACGTAATTCATACAAAGAAAATAAAAATTTAAAAAAAATGTTTAAACGTCAATCCACTACTCTTTACATTCTTCTTCTTCCTTTTCATGTAGTACTAACTTGAACAAAGTGATTTACACTAAAATTTGAAGGTTAATAGATGAATAGACAAAGTTATTTTCTTTTCTTTAGCAGACACATATATCGATATAATACAATGAAAACAGTAAAAATTTGTAAAACTAATAATAATGACAAAAGAACAGTTAAATTTAGCTGCGATATTTTTTTATATAGTGATTATTAGTGTTTGTCTTCAATGAATAGTGTTTATTGTTTATACAAGTGAGTAATCTATATAAATTAAATAACTATACAATCAACGCGCGTCTTGGATTCCACTACTAGCCACTATCTATCTTTGCTTAAAAAGCTTATGACTTAAGGCTATATCGAGGCAATCCGTACAGGATGCATATATGCCAACATGAGACTGATCAATTGCAATCCTAAATAACAATGGAATGATACAAGTAAAACAACATTAAGTGAATTTGTCGTAACCTTGAATTTATCCTGTTAATCATTAAATCATTCTATAGTCTACGATAAAACGACAATTTTTTTATTTTTTCTATACGATGTAAAATGTTTCTCTCCCCTTTGTTACCTTTTTTACTTGAAATTCCATTTAATTGATCTTTATGAATTTTCATATAAAATACCCTGACAAGTATGTGTGACCGGGTTGTTCGAAATGTATAGCGCAAATACATCACATTTTTCAGATCTACTCTGTCTTCCAATTGTTCTATTGAGATTTATAAAAGGGACTAGTTGCTTTAAAATCTTTATATCAAATTATTGACTTTAACTATTAACATACATGTGTAGATATCAATGAAATAAACGCGTTAAATGAGACGGAGTATTAAAAAAAATAAGAATTTGAGGGCTAATTAGAAATATGCTTTGAAAATAAAAATGAAAACCCTGATGAAGAAGATAACTGCATTTTTTAGTTAGCTGAAGCTTTGTCTTATAAATATAGACAGAAATAACGGATTTCTTCTAGACTGCGAAAGACGTCTTTACATCATCTCAAACCAATGAAATAAATTAACTAAAACTTCTCGAAGATAGGATTTTAATGGTTTAGTTATTTGTTTCCATCATAATAAACAGGAGATAGACAAACATCAGAAGTTTAAGGTCGGTTAACCGCAACCGGTTTATTCTGTAGTGTATGCATAGGAAATTTTGAGATGGGACTCAGGACTCATAAGTTGCACAAATGATCATCCACAGTTGTATTAGATACTTAGAAAAGGTCATAAATATAGTAAGAGGTGATTTGTAACGAATTATTAAACATTACCTTCATCAAACAAGCGTTTCATTAGATGACGTTCTCATACTTTGAATGTAGTTTAAAATCTAGTTAACCTATTTCAAGACATTACAGATTATCTTATTTGTTTTGCCTCTTGACCCTTGGTAGTCGTTAGTTTTCCGTGGTTTACCAAATGTTAGTTTACGCATTGATAGCAGTTTATTCGCAAACTATATTGTTAACTGACTAATGTGTCTGTTTTTAAACAAATTTCCTACTTATCGCAAAACTGTTTTGACTGAGACAGTAAGGAAGTAAAATAAGCACATTCAAAAATTTCCTTTTGATCAATTGCTTGAATGTTTAGCGCGCAAGAAAATTTATATCGACTACATAAAGTAACATATACAGGTCAGATAGTAAACGTGAACCAGATTTTATGAATGAAATCAAGTTTACAGAATGGTACAATTTTTATTCATTAATTAAGCTCCACAAGTATTGACCAATCATGTTTTCGTCACTGATGAACGGGTTGTACTGTTCAGACTAACAATATGATCAATATGTCAGGGCACAAACTGTTATATTCCTAATTATGGTCAAGTAATACTGTTGTACCTTTAAGATATTCAATAATATAAACCATTTAATCACCACTTGTTTATCTCTGTTTTACACTTTAAAATAATCTACTAAACCATTTGATTAGCATTTATTACCTTGCTCATCAATCTAGGAATTTGATGTTTTGTGTTATGGATATAAAACTTTTTCGCCGTTAGTTCAAACAAAAACTATAGATTAAATAGATTATCAAAACAAGTATTTTCAAACTTCATTATACAATTAAGTGTTGTTCAAAATAACTAAAAAGATACTTCATCCTAGTTCAATCGTTTGTTTTCTTGGTTTTCAACATTCAAATGATACTATATAGTACGTAGTTAAAATATCTGTCAATTGTAACCCGTTTTGGAATATAAAACTGATTCATTTGAGGTTAACTGAGTGGATAGCTAATTTGATTTTTTCATAAGAAATGAAATAAATAGATTATTTAAATATAATTTCAATGATTCACTGTAGCTTTATAGTAAGAAAAAAGATCTGTGGATTTTTAAATCTATCATATAAAGCAAATAATCTGAGGGTATTTTTTTAGAGTCCACATGCTTGTAAATTAATTTTTTTTAAATTAATCAATTTCATTTATGCATTTTAAAAACATTTTTTGTTTACAGTTCCCTGGAATCTATGGTGGAAAACGTGTGGTTAGCAGACTGAAATTAAATAACATTTCCAGAATCTCCGATGGTATGCTATTCACCTGTTTAGTCAAACATATCGAGTGGACAGAATCAATTAGTCGTACACATCAGTTAATGGTATTATGTAAGATCAAATATGTCAATTTTTCTAGTCTTAAACTTTTTGATATATAATTACATTTTCTAACTTAAATTATACTCGAAGGGGGTTTTGTGGATATTATAGTAACTTTAGTAGTTGAGATTACGAGTCACAGTTGTGCGCCGCTGAGGAGTCCCGCAATAGGACGAAATGGGTGTTCAGGACTTCTAGGTTTTCCATCGTTTTCTAGCTTCAACCGACTCATGATCTCAACTATTAAAATTAAAATATATTATCGAGCTACTACGAAAAGAACTGACAGGAGAGTAATCAATTGAATTATTTTTCTGTTTAAGTTTTTATTTCATGTATACAAATTTTAATAATCATATGGAAGAACAATGTTGATTTTGATAAACAATAACATAAAAGGTAGACACTCTTAATTTATGAATGCTTCAGCAGAATTCTGTAAGAATGTTATAGTTAATAAATGTCTTTCAAAATATAACTTCAGTTATGTTATCGGTATGCGTAACTAATCGCATACATGTATTAGACTAGATAAACTACGTTGATCTGCCAGTCATTGTTAAAAAAGACACTGGTTACGAATTTACCAATTATTGTAAAAAAACAATTTTAGTAAACTGACAGGCATCTTATCAATAATAAAAATAATGATAAGTTACAGCAATAATTTGACACAGTGTACGCCAACATCTAAAAATACTGAAACTTGATAATGAAGTATTTAGGTTAACAAAGACTATATGAAGTATTAAGAGGATCTACTAAAAATAGAAAAACAAAACTAACTACCAGGGAACGTAACCGTTGTGATTGTGGGCATCTTTATTACGAATTTGGAAACGAATAATAGAGTTCGTCTGTCGTATAAATTACACAAGAATAACATGAGTCACTGTAGAAATCTGTCAGTATTTTTTTTTCAAAAATTAACATTTTCTATTTCGTTTGTTGTGAACTTCTCATTTAGTTGGATTGGAATTCATTTGAATCCTAGGAACAGGTTACATATTTTATATTGTTAAAATTAATAAATTCGTTATCTTTGTCCCGATGATCAAAGTTTATGTCAATGACTTTTACTGAAATTGATTTAATTTATACTTCAACTTTTGCACCTACGAAATTCATCATTGCACGTAATTCAGCTAGAAATCACTATATTCAGCCTACATTATGTTTTAATGCTGTTTATATTAGCCAGAAAGAAGTTTGTGATTTTCAGGTAATGTAATTAACATTGCAGTCTAATGATTCGTGTGGGTTATTTTACATCAATCTATCCAACGGTCACTCATTCTCACCCCAGTTTTGAACTACTCTCTCTCTCTCTCTCTCTCTCTCTATATATATATATATATATATATATATATATATATATATAAGTGTAAAGTTATTTGGTGATGGAATCCCAAAATATTAGGGGGGTGAGGAGTAATTGTATGATATCTAAAACCTAACGAGATAGATTACACAACAATTCGAATGCTTGAAAAGTTTGTATAAATTTCGGGGATCAGAGGAGTGAAAAACACAGATGAACGGAAAAGTAATTTTTAGGGCGGATGAATTACCACTTGGCTTAGCAAAGATAGCATAACAAAATTAACTCAGTAAAGCAATAATAATAATTAAATTTACTATAGGTGACTTTCATCAAAAATGTGAATCAATCAAGGCATTGATGAATTAATAACCCTCTGCGATATTTTTAATTCCTACTGCTTTGAATAAACGATGAGAGGCTTATTTATTTTGTCTGTTGATAGTTTTGACGGAATGGCACTAATAATTTGCCCGCTGTCGTTTAAGTGTTAAGGTATTTCACCTTTCGATCTCAAATTCTTTGGAACTTGTTGGGAAATGGATTTTTCTATCATTACAACAAGTATTTCATATTACAGTATACCCTAATGTTACAATTAAGTAAATATACGGCTGTGGGTAGACGAAGACACACCACAAAATATAACGGATTCATATTATTCTACCCATATCATTGTTTTGGCTTTACTCTTACCATGTGTCAAAATATTCATGGTTTGATTAATAGTGCTAAAGTAAGATCCTGTGCATACTTTTTCAGTACCTTCTGCGTTATTGACTGTGTTCTGTATTATTATTTCTCTATATAAGTCCAGACAATGAGGCTTAATAAAAATCGTTCTAATCAAATCACTATTTTCATTTAGTATAGGAAAAACGGTTGGTGAAATAGATTCATATTATACAAAATAAAATAGATATCTTAAGAAATCTCTTAGTTGCGTTTCACTGACGGAATTTTTCTGTCACTTGATGACAAACAAACGTGGATTGTAATAATCAAAAATAACAAGCCTGCTTAAAAACAGATACACGAGATAAAACAAGCCAAAAGCCAAGTCTTCAAATGGATTTCATTATCAATATGTAGGAAATCTTAAAGCTAGTTATTATACAAATTTATTTATTTACTCCACTCATTGCATTAACTAATAAAAATACCTGAAGGTAGCCTCTATTTCCCTCAACAACAAGCTTTCACATTGAAACATATTTATGAAAAGACAAATATTTAAGTAGTTGTAAAGATCTATTCTATTAAGTAGTCAAAATGGTTTTATCTACAACAAGTTATATCAAATTATAAGTGATAAAAAAAGACATTAGAAAATTTATCAGTTAGTGATAAAATTACTGTTTAATGGTTTTTTTAATGTTGGAGAGACCCAGGATATTCCTCGAAAAAGCCTAAAGCGGCTCTGAAAACGCTAGAAAACATTTTATCTAATCAACATGAATAGATGTTCCCCAGAAACATCAAGATAGTGAAGCGTCACGTGTAACATTTATGATTGTATGATTACCTTTCCTGCTATTATGTTTAGTAGAGTTCCAAAACATTCCAGAAGCTCGTTGCCATCTGAAATGCCATAAATACCCTCAATTTTCTGTACATGAATGAACCTTAGAGTAAAGCGTTCTTTGCATATTTAGCACCTTTTCTATCGTATTCATGTTGTCGTGTAGATTTAACCTGAGGTCATTAGAAAAGTTTAGGAAAGTGATTCAAGTGTTCAGTTAGAAGATTTACCAATTAAGTAAATAAATCTCTATGATGTAATATTTTCAAATGTTCAATTTAAACAAAGATTTTAAATCCCCTATAAATTTATCTCAACAAAATTTAAGTGAAAGAAAATGTAGGTGAAGAAATACTTTTCTATATAAAAGTTAAGTTCTATATAAACGTAATAGTAGGTGTCATACGTCTCACTCCAATTTATGCGATAATGTAAGAAAATTAGTTTCTAGATAATAATAATCGTTCAACATAAATGTAATTGAAATTAGCATGCACTGAAATAACCGATAATTCCAGTTCAACAAGATCAGATATATCTTATAGAACGCATTAGATATATAATACCAAAATTAATACATTCAGTCTATGTGGAATGTTAATTATTCAAAAATAGGTCGGCGATAATGTTTTGTTTTAGCGCTTTTTTTCAATGTTTTTATATAAACTAATGCAATGGAATTTGTGTAACCATCTACGCTTAATAAGATTTTTACAAGCGTAATAATTCATCTTGTTCAAGTGTTATTATTTTCCTGATTGTAGATCCACCAACGCTAAAATTAAAAATTATTCCACAAACAATGGAAGATCGCTTAAAGTCTAATAGTATTACTCTAATCTGTAATGCTGAAGGTGGTCAACCGAAATATTTTGAGGGCGAAACCGACTTTCTAGATGGTATCCATTATGAAAATAAATTTTCGAAAAGTCAAGGAACTTCACTTAATGAAGATAAACATAATATGTGGAAATTCTACTGGAAATTTCGTCCTCAGTACCCTGAAAACTGGATGCAATCGACTAATCAAGAAATACTTTTCAACGAGTTAAATATGTACCGATCGAATAAACTAATTTTAAATCATCCAGGGAGGAAACAAGCTGGCGACTACACATGTTTACTTGAAGGTCCAACTAGTACAGCACAAGTAACTAGCCATTTAGAATTCACATGTAAGTATGACTGATGTTAGTATGATAGTATGTTAGTATTTTAACATATGGATCATTTTAAGCAATCTATAATGACGATATTTAGAAATTAAGTAACGTCAACTCAAATAATTGAACTTTACTTCGTAGGACCTCAGCATGAATGCTCTTAGCGTGTATAAAAGACAATAATTATTTGCTCATATCATATTACATATTGTTGTCTCAGTAATGAAATTGATGTAATGTTGTCAGGTGTGAAGTATAACATATTTTTTGCAGCTTTGGATCACTGAAGATAGTAAGAAATGATAATTACAGCATGAGTTATTGAATATAGCATACATTTTAGGTGAATCAATACTATTAGAGATTCTAAGAAGTTAAGAAATAAGGATACATTGAACAAAGTATGTGATTTTTTGGTGCCAGTGAAAATAGCCATAACACATTTGGTTACATTATTCCGTTTTTCTCAATCAAAACTGTCTGTAGATATAATGTTAAAAATAAAAATAGTGAAACTGGAGATTATTAAAATTGATTAAGTTAAATACACATTCAATTAAAGTAAGAATAGAACAAGAACAACGATTCCAGCATAATAACATGAATTCATTTTATTTCGTTTGGTTCTCATCAGCTGCTTACAATCTATGGTTGGTAGAAAACAAGTACAAAATGGGTTTAAAATACTTACACGAGAGAGTTCATTTGGAAGTTATGTTGAAGACACATTAGTATAGTAAAGAGAGTGTCAATAAATTTAACAGACTGATTATTGTAAATATATACATTATGTAAAATAACATTAAACAACATTGATTGTGACAAGAGTTCAAAGGGCGAGAAACAAGTGATTACATAATGAGTAGACGGTGATAGGAATAAATTGAGTAAAGCTCAATCAACAAAATATGAATGCTAATCCGGAAGACAGTCGAAATTATAAAAAACTCAGTGATGTAATAAATGAAAGAGATAAAAAGTGTTTTAAGATACAACGAAGGAATATTTATTACTAAGGCAAGGAAAAATTAACAATCATTTCCTTTTGAATACATAAATCAGATTTTTGACGCCCAGTAGCAACAGCTCTAGAGAGATTCAGAAGACTGGAGTTTGGCTGTTTATTGATCATCTTAAAAGATTACAAGGTATCGACTTGATGTTCCGTATCCTCAAGATGTTTGGTAATCGTACTGTTTAAAGTCATTCTTTCTCTTATTTTTTTAAAAAATGTGCTCAAGTTATAAATATCTTTGGTATACATGATCTGAAATTCAAATGTATTTTTGCGCATTAGACGAAGATTAGAAACCATTATGAAATTACTTATGATGAATGAATTTTTAATAATAATAGCCTTTATAAAAAACGGTATGTTTGACGCAATATGGAACTCTCAACATAATCATCTATAGTGAAAGAAATATTTTCTGTGAATTACATAAAACATAACCTAGGTCTCAATTTATTGAAGAATAAGAACAGTAATTTATTACTTAAAAATAAATGAAGAAATACTGGTCAGTATCTAATGTACAGTAGTAAAAGCTGTGGCAAGGTGATAGCTACTCACGAAGACGAATTTTGACTAAAGTCCTTAAATGATTTGTTATCAAAAATAAGACAACCAGAAAAAGAGGTTTTTTATGTAATAAATTGACATTGCTTATGTACAAAATTAATAAAATAACATATCATTAGAAGAAGTCATTATATATGTCACTTATCCAATAAATTAAGGCTTATTTATTAAACCTAATACTTACGCCTGTTACTCCTCGCGAAGGAGCATAGGCCGCTCACCAGCATTCTCCATCCAACCCTGTCCTGGGCAATCCTTTCCAGCTCCTTCCAGTTCCTATTCATCCTTTTCATATCTGCTTCTATTATCCGACGTAATGTGTTCTTAGGCCTTCCTCGTTTCCGTTTCCCTTCAGGATTCCAAGTTAGGGCTTGCCTCGTGATGCAGTTTGACGATTTGCGTAATGTATGTCCTATCCATTTCCATCGTCTTTTCCTAATTTCTTCTTCAGCTAGAAGTTGATTTGTTCTCTCCCACAAAAGGCTATAGCTGATGATATCCGGCCAATGGATGTTGAGTAACTTGCGAAGACAGCTATTTATAAATACTTGTACCTTCTTGATGGTGGTTGTAGTAGTTTTCCAAGTTTCAGCTCCATACAGTAGAACTGCCTTGACGATGGTATTGAAGATTCTCACTTTGATATTGGTTGAAAGTTGTTTTGAGTTCCATATGTTCTTCAATTGTAGGAATGCGACCCTTGCTTTGCCAGTCCTTGGCTTTACGTCTGCCTCTGAGCCTCTTTGTTCATCGATGATGCTTCCCAGATATGTGAAGGATTCTACATCTTCCAGAGTTTACGTAGAATGTTTTATATATGAGTAAATTTAAATTCACTAATCTAGCCACAATATCACGACATTAAATCACATTTGTACAATATACAACATATCATATATTGTATGATAGTTTTCCACAAGAAGCAGATATTTAGAGTAATCTCCTGGTTGTAAAGTTGATTTTTTTAATGTAGGCTTTTGTAAAAACTCTACTATTTTACCCATCAAAGAATAAGAAAGGTTAAAATTAGGTATTTTGACACACAATACTATTCAATGCTATTCATTGTTAAATTAATTTTGTTTTTATTCATACTTTTGATTTTAGTCGCACCAGAGTTAGCACCACCAGGAATTACATCAGTAACGTCTGCAGTTGGTTCACATACCGTAATTGAACTTCATATATGGTCATATCCTGTACCTTCATCTATACACAATCCAAAAGATACTAAAATAAAACATATTGTGACTGAAAACTGTAATCTTCATGAAATTAATTCACAAATACCATATGAAATCAAAACACAAAAGAAAACGTATACTTGGTACAAGGTTACTACTGAGAGATCAGCATCAGGTGTCAAAATCCTTCAAAAAGAATTAGTACTCGAAAACTGGGAACCACATATACGGTTGAAACAATTTTCTTCTGGTATTAATAAAAGGCAACTTATTTGGACTGATGCAATACTTATTGACTTTCCATACTATGACACGGATATACAAATTAGACAAAATGATAGTGGAAGTAGAAGTACATTGCGAAAAATACCGACAGTTGTTTATCGACTGTTTCTAAGCCCAATTACAGAAAAGGATTACGGGGAATATATGTGTGAATTAGAACACATGGAAGGAAGAAAACAGTTTTTCGTGCAAGTACAACCACCTGGTTTGTGAATATATTTAATCCTGTTAAGTATTCATCTAAATATTTTAAATGAATCAGCAGTTTATCTGCTACTATTAAAGAAAACTAACGTTCAGTGATTTACTTCGGTTCATTTACTGTTTAAGCCCTTAAAAACACTAAAGAATATAAATAACCTCTAATTTAGTGTATTATATTTTATGTATCACACCAAATGATATTGTGTCACATACATACGAATAAATATTGCGTATTATTAAAATACGTATTAAGATCAAGTCAATACGACATTCTATATTGTTGCATAAAGTTGCATAAAGCAAAAAAAGGGTGACTTATTCAATAAAAATTTAAGTACATTACTTAACATTTGTGTTTTGCAAGTGTGTATTCTTTTCATTTTCAAGTAAATTGAACTTGAAAATTCTCTGACAAATATTTCCATGGTTGTAGTCATGAGATTATCAAATCTAGACCACCACTGAGAACATGGAAGCACTAAGTAGGCGCTTCGTCCTCGTATAAGACTCCTCAGTGGTGTGCATCCATAGTCCCACACGCGGGAATCGAACCCAGAAACTTCAGTCTCAAACGGGAAAGGTTAACCTCTAGACTACTGAACTGGCATCCACTGGCGTTAATGTCTAACTTTAGTCGTCCCATGATCTTGCATAACCCTTCATCCATTGTTTGAGATGGATAACTTTGTCACACCCGACACGAATTAGACTCCATCGATCACGATTTCTCACTAAAACTCCAGGATTTTTATTTTGAATCTAGTCACTAGTGAGCACATGAGTATTATTAGTAGTAGTAAGGGGGTTAGTGGAGACTGTAGTACTTTCGTAGTTGAAATCACGAATCAATCTAGATTATTTCTAGTGAGACGATCGAACTTTACTAAAACTTAGGTAAAGGGAGGTACTTTTTTGCTTAAGTACAACCTGTAGTTTAGGAAATGGTGCCGTCTCCTTTTATTTTTATACAATAAACAGAGTTTTTATCCTTCTAGCATAAACACTTAATGGACCAAAATCCACTTAATCCTTCTATAGAAATAGATAGATTAACCATCTGTATATCAGGTCTTTAGAGAATAGCTGACACAGAAATCGTCTATTTAGTTGCTACTCGGAACGTTTTACCGATGTCATCATGAAGTGATGAATCTTTGAAAGATGATAACAACATTTCTTACTAGAAGAGACTGAATGGAATTAAATTCTCAGTACAGATATTAGCTTTTTAATCCGTATGAGCAAATAGACAGTAACTTATTTAAATCACTTTATCTTATCACTTCATTTGTGTCCCTTCTCACATATATGAGCTCCTTAAATCAAGTTTACTTAATGTGCACAGATTGCGAAGCAGCAGTTTATTTCCTAAAGAAATGAGTGGTATTTCCCCGATGCTTCTTAACTGTTTAGTCTCATTTTATGATTACCTTTGTTAATAACTATGCCATTTTGTTCTAATGTCTGTTTCCTGTTAAAGGTAATCCACCAATCAATGTAAGAAACATGCGTTTTACACGTGATGATTCGAGGATTCGAGTTTACTTTGATCCGCTATATTTTTTCAAGACCAGCCAAGGTGGTTTAGCTGTTTCAGAAGAAAATAAAAACCATATTGTTACGACAAAATCTACTTCAAACATCGTCACAGGCAACTCACTCAGTTTGCTTTCTATAAAGAGTGACAACAGTCAACAATTGCAATGGAAAATGTTAATCAGAATATGCGCATCAAATTATTACAGGCGCGAACAATCATCTGAGGATATAATAAAAGAATGTTCCTCATCACAATCTACACTGAAAACTCTAAAGAAACCAAATTATCGTTCTTGGTTAGATTTGTATAAATCATTTCCCAATAATAAATATCAAACAACTTCTCTCTCAAATGAGTGTATTGATAAGCTAGTTGAAAACCCTGAACAGGGTAAAATTGAAATTCCGCTCATATATTTATTTAATAATACATTATATAACACTTCTTATTTAAAATCCGAGAACAAATCCAACGAAACATTCGAGATAAATAATTTGTTGTCCGATGATACTTCAACCGACACTCCTCAAGGAATTTACGTTCACTGGTCCGAAAAAGAAAAATTAACTTATCAGTTTAGATTTTACGATGAAAGTGGGAGTCTGGTTTACGCAACCGACTGGGTCGATGAAGAAAACGGTTGGTTACAAACATTATTTTAAATAGTAGTCCATTGAGGATATATTCCATGGTAATTTTCCATAGTTAACAAATACACTTAGGATTTTTGTGACCAATGGCAGCTTGTTGGTGATTTAACGCTAGTACTGTCCTTGTCAGGTGTAGAATATTAAACTGGGCGACTGACTTTCTTAAACAGAAATAATTTATTGACAGTCTATAATCCTATGTACATATTCTCCAAATAGGTTAGGTCATAGTTGAAAACGTTAAAAAGTCAATTACATGAGATAATTTTACAAACGAAAACCTAACAACGTAACTACAAAAACTGTGACCAGTTATACTGTAACAAATAATTAGCATAGGTTTACAGAAACCAAATAAGGTTTAGGGGTTGGAAAAACAAAAACCATAACTTGGTTTTCAGCCATAGGAGTAGAAAATTGACTAAATTCATAAACCTGGATCACTGTATCCCAGTTTAGTGGCTCGAAAGTTAAGCGTTTAGTTAAAAGGATAGAATCGTGAATAACTTATGAGGTGTGTAATCTCAAAAGAGTTTGGGAGTTATTTTTTAAATATTAGTCGTTGTCTGGGATGAAAATTATAAATTAAATTAAGATGTCGACCAATTTCTCATATGTTTCCTGAGTTTATTTTTTGTCTGGACTTGACATACCCTTACCAATATTTGAGGCTCACAGATTTTATCCTTACAAATGATAGCAAGAAAAATCTGAAAAACATTAGGGAGCTCATTTTTATGTGTTGTTGAGTTAGCATCCATAGGCTTGAAAATAAGTCAAGGAGAAATCCTTTAGAAACTATCTTAAACAATGATTTTAATATTTTTTAATTAGCAGAATATTTCATACTTCTGACACACAGTTATCTGTGAAATTAAGTAATCAGGCTAAGGTTCATTCCCGAAATGATGACCGATCGTATGTTTTACGTTTATATTCGTATTATTTTTGAATGAATCTGAACCATCATTAATTCATTTGCACATCTGAACACTGGAAGTTTCTTGAAAAAGTTAAGTCATTAGCTCCAGTTTTTTTTAAAAGCTTTGAAAAACACCGAAATATTAGTTGTTTTAATTGCCTTATAATATTGTTGCGGTATGTTTATGAAAAACGCTTAACACATTTTCTGAATTTTGCAAATTATAATCACTTATTATCATAAATAATTAAGATTTTTCTATTTCAGATGGTTACTATGACGAATCAACTTTCTCTATCTTCAGTTATCATAATACCTACTTGTGGATTGTAATAATTGGTGCATTCTTCTTTCTTCTACTAGTCATTCTATTTGTGTTTGTATTGCGCAGACGATTAAACAATAAAAATGGTAAATTGATATTGCTATATCATTTGAGTATGCACAACGAATTATTAATACTTTAAACTGTTTGGGTTAGAAATGTTTAGTAACGTTTTACTAAATGGTGATTATACAAGTGTTACAGGCTGTTGTATTGCCTCATAGATAATGTAGATAAGAATTATTCTCTGTTGAGCACGCATTTATTTAGTGTTTATATTCATTAGGTTAATAAGGTAGGCTGCATTATAATGTACTCATTCATCACATACTCAAATTGTACAAGAAACTTGATTTTGTATCTCATTCACTGGTGATGCAAAAATATCGGTGGTGATGTTTCAGCCATTTAAGGTTGATGAAGCCTTATGCAGTAAAGCCAGTGAGGTTTTTCGGGGATTGGTTTCCTTGTTTCAAGGCTCATAAACCTATTCTGTGGATGTGATCGCGTCAAAAAGTCGGTATCCCCGGGTCATGGCAACTGGGGGTGGTAAAATGACCAAGTATAGTTTACACGCATATGGGTGGCATAAACGTTTTCAATCATGCATCCTAAAACATATATACGGATACATTCACTCACCCGGGAGAGCAGATGATCACCGCTCCCTTCAAACGTATTCGCAACTGACCGTTTCTAGAGCGTTACATGCATACCACTGGTACAAAGGCTTCAAACCTCGCACGTCATGACGAGCACATAAGCATAAACACTCCAAACGGGGTTTGATGATTACCTCTCCCTAGTATTTGCAACCGTATCTTTATTATATCTTCGAACTGCTTTGGCAGGTCGCTGGTTTTACTAGACTTATGGTAGATATTTTTACAGTTTACATTCCTTCTCATAACGTATGTGCGTACCCTTTGCATATACCTACATACGTAACTACACGAGCCGAGACTCATGAGATTCATATACATAAGCATACACATCGAGCAGCCCGCAAGATTTAGTGAGCCCTGAAATCGGAACACGACCATTTCTATTTCTGCCGGCCGCACAAATTAAGTAGCAATGTTGCCCTTGCTACACAGCAGCGCCATGTGGAAGCATTGAGTATGATTAATAAAAATATCAACGTACTGAATTGAGGAATATCTCCTCATTGCCAGTTAATGTTAAATACAATGATTCAAATATCATCTATGAACTCTTAAAAATTGTTTCAAGAAACGTTTTTGACAGAGAAATCAAAACAGTTTTAGGATAAGTATTTCTGCGTATCGAGAATGATTAGTAATTCTATCCTACCAAATTTGTTTTATTTGTCTAATTCAACTTAAGTGGTCAATGTACCTCCAAGTTTAATTGGTATATAATTTATACAATCAAGTTTCAATGGATAAAGTCGTCATATAAATTAAAAACACACACATCGGTACATATCTTAGTCTAAATACAAATATATCTGTCTAAAATAACAGGATAGATATTTCAAAGTCACTGCACAAATCTAGCGATTTAAAATGAACGAAGTTAAGGAGCTTTACAATATTTCCTAATATATTGGATATATTCAAGTGTGTATAAACACTATTTTTGATTTCAAGTTTTTCTAAGATTCCTAATTAACTGGATTTTCTGGTTAAAGATAAAAAATAGACACCTAAATAAACCTATCCAACGTAATATTAATACAGATTTTACTGTAAGAATGAACTTCATCAAAACTTCTGTTCAAAAAGCCACCTCAAATGCTTTAAACATCAGTTCTAGGAGCCTACCTATTTACATTTATAAGACTGTTTCATTGATAAGGAGTTTGAGTAATAAGTTTATTTTAACTAACCTTAAGAGATTTAGCTGGAATAATATTATATTCGCGTATGTTAAGTGTAATGAAGAAACCTAGTGAAAAATGTAGTTGGTTAAAGTACGACTTTTTATATTTATTCGAACGCATACTATTATTCCTTATATATATAAACAGAAAAGACCAACAGATTACGCACAATGATTACAAACATGAATATCGCATCCCGACTGAATAGTCTAGTGGATAAGCGCTTGCCGCTGAACTTGAATGTTCATGGTTTGATCCCCAGTATGCCTGTAGATACTAACTGCTGATAAGTCCCGAACAAGAACGAAACAATATGTCCAGTGCTTCCCGGTCTTAAATTGTTGCTTAAATAATATTAGCTTATGATGTAAACCATAAAAGATACCAAATATTTCTTAAATTCCTTAGTACAACTGAACCTCTAGCTCGTCAATAAATTTATTCCTTATAAATACTTTATTCATCATTTTTTGTAACCTAAAGTGATTAACTTACGGTTACAGAGCATAGTGTCAGAAATCTAGAGGGTTCAGTCTATTATCATGAGTTAGCTTATAACAAACCAATTAAAAAACAGAAGTCCGTGAGATATTAATTTAATAATTTCTGATTATTATTGAATATCTATTTAAACAAAAATGCGATGATTTCGTTACCCTACATTTGAATTATATGAAACAATTCGTACTTTTACCACAATTTGGGCTGGCAAAGAATAAGCATGTAGATCCCATAAATCTGAATATAAAGTAATATTAATATTTTAGATCATGAGTCAACTGAACCTCGACCCTTATGGAAATCCTGAAAGTACAGGACGGCCGTTTCGTCCTATTGTGGGACACCACAGCAGTGCGCATCCACGATCCCGCCTTGTGAGATTCGAACCCAAAACATTTTGCGAGATAGTAACTCACTGAAGACAATGGTAGATGTATCGCTCAATTCCGTGGATTAGTTGAAATCAGACATTAATACCGTTGTATGTCAGCCAGTTCAGTGGTCTAGGGGTCAAGCACTCGCGCCAGACTGATAGTTCCCAAGTCCGAATCCCGCGAGGCGGGATCGTGAATGCGTACTGCAGAGGAGTTCCACACTAAGACGAAACGGCTGTCCAGTGTTTTTAGGTTTTCCATGGTGGTTTGGCTTCAATTGACTCATGATTCCAACCATTAAAATTATTATAATATCCCCAAAAAACCCCTTCTGATAATTAAATATTGTGTTATGTTTTGTATTCGTTTCTTACAGTTGATTTTAAACAATCAGTAATAAATATTAAATAATAAATAATTTTCTTTGCCTATGAAGCATAACAATGAACCGATTGTATGAATTTAGAAGAATATTCACCATTTGGATATAAAAAAAAATATAAAATTCTTTTCGAAGTTAAAAGTTATTGGGTTTTGTTTCCTCATTTGTAAATTGAGTGAAAATATATCTTAAATGTGACAAATACATAAATGACTAAATGTCAAAGCTGAAAATTATAATGACATTTTGTACATTTTGTCAATGTAATAAACGCGGTCATTAATGAGATTATATGTACAAGGTTTATGTTTGCAAAACTTTGTTATACCTTGAAAAGTTTTAAATTGATATAGTATTTCATAGTTTAGTGTATACAAGGTCACTGGAGAGAATTTCACTCAATAAGGTCATTTCGATTGAGATCATGAATCGATCAATTATTAAAAAGTTGAAAGCAACGGATGACCGTTTTGTCCTATTATAGGACTCCTCAGAAGTGCTCATCCATAATCCCAGACGCGGGATTCGAACTCGGGTTCTTCGGTCACGCACGTGAACGCTTGACCTCTAAACCACTTAGCCGGCTGGCATCCAATGGTGTTAATGTCTAACATCAACCAATGCACGAAATCACGCCACCGTCCACCATTGTCTTCAGTGAGTTACTATCTCACAACAGACCTGATTGAACTCCGCTGGTCACGGCGTCTCACTAGAACCTAAGGAAATACCCCTTGAAACCAGTCACTATTGAGCACAATACCCTCTTCTGGTAATATGCATCTACTAATTATCGTTCTTGAATATAAATAATATACGTTATATAAACAGTTAAAACTTAAGTAAATAAAAATCTTATCCCGACAGTCTTGATAGATACTTCTCTAGAACCATCATATCACTTCATTTATCATGACCATTGATATTAAGGGAGATTTACTTATTTCCTTCATTTAACTGTTTGTATTAAAAATTTCTTTATCATATGAAGTACATCAAATATCATTGATTTTTTTCAGAGATAATAAGACAAAGATAATATTTGTTGATATGTAACTTCATATATGTTACTTCTTTTTTAAAAGAAACGTAATAGTTGCTTGAAATAAGTTGATTACTAGTATCTAAAACAAGAAGTTTATATGAGTTGCTGAAGTTCAAGTTGTTAATAATTAAACCATCATATAATGTCTTTTTTGAACTGGTCAATCAGGATCCAGAAAAACATTCATTCACTTTGACAAGAAGGTTTTATTCTGTTTAAAAAGCTGATAATCACAATTTATCTGTAATTAAAATCGAAATTCTTAGAATTAAGTTTTGCAATTCATGCTAAAACTTATTAGAAAAGTATAGGGTTAGATCGGAGTGGTGAATAAAAATGAGGCTTTCATAATGATAAAAGTTGGATTTAGAAGTTACTTGTAGAGTGTAGTGTCGGTTTCTATGTTAAGCACACATAGTTTATTCTAGCTTTTGGACAAACCAATTTATCTATTCTTCTCAAGCTACATCTTAACCTTGTTAATTATTCGCTTATCAATCTTGACTGTTTTGATGTAAGCGTATGTATGTGCATTTCCTTTGTTACTCATCACATGTCGGTAACTCATTTTTACCCGACTATAAATATCGATTAATGCTTGATTAAATCGAGTTGGCTTACATGTCTTCTCCATCACGTGTCATTTCACTTCACTCTCTTCTCTACGTTTCTTTTCTTCACTTGCTTGTCTAAATCAATGATTGTGTGAAATATACGTATTAAAAATTCATTCTCACATTTGATTTACTTAATTTCGTTTTTCACTTCCGCGATTTAAGTCGATGATGATATACGAGAATTGGTGACATGTTTATTTCAATAACAATCATTCAAACGATCAGACTAAAGTCATATAATCGAGGGCTACTAAAAATTAATCTATTTTTATTTATCATTATAGCTTAGAATTGATTTTTGTCCTGACTATTAGTGTACAGGTTTAGAATCATATACAAATACTTATGGTATACCCTATTTTATGGATTCATTTTGTATAGAAAAGCATAAACTTAAAACTTTGATAAAGCAAATTCTTTATTGAAATATTTTTTTTATAATTCATCTAATTATTTTGCTTATAAGTCAATAGAAGCTATTTGATCTTTCCAAAATTTTTTTTCGAATGTTAATTGGATACCCTTTAATAATCTTACCATTATAATTAAGGTAACTAACATAATGAATAATGAATCATATAATCGTAAGGCTAACAGTGAATGGAATAAAATAAGAACAAAAGAGTATTCAGAAAACAATTAATATCGTAAATATCATAGGAAAGAATGAATAGTTTTATTTGTTTTTCGATTTTTAACATTAAATACATCATTAAAGGAAATATATTTCCATTATGCATTGTTTCAATGTTATTAAATAACAAATCACTAAATATACAACTCATGCGAACATCGGTTCAGTTTCTAATTGTTATAACTTGTGATGCTATGTGCCCTGTATATTGGATAACGCAACGATACCGCCAATCAGAGAGCAGCGAATTATCGATCGAACCAGGAACACATAAAACACGTGCGAGCAGCCTAGAGTTCTGATCGGCCCTGCTTTCCGCCTAGTCCAGCCAGTTAAGTCCAGAACGCCGATCTCATCCTCTGCAATATGAATCATTTATTTCAAACATACGGGGTTTATATACCAATCAAACAGACCACAACGTACCATAAAATATGAAAGAACATTTGTACAATATTTGGCCAAAAGTGGCTATGAATGAGGGATGTAGTGATTAACAGACAGGGAATAATTCAAGAATGGTAAATCGTATAAAAACAGTTCATAGGTCAGAATAAAATTCATATTAAGAGGGACATGAATATGAACAGTTTAGTTATATAACAATAACACGATAAAAATATACCCATAGTATTGATGTATAAATGGATCCCAAAAAATACCATTCATTATTCTTATCGGGATATAACACTAATCATACAAATGTTCTTGTTATTTAAATCTGTTCTTTGACGTCGAGCATCCTGACCAATGCAACTTAGAACTCTCATTTATATTTAGCCTAGCAAATGTGTCCTTGCCCATCGAAATAAATGATCATCATGCACTTAACTATTTTCTACTATGAATCTTTAAAGAATACACAAACATATACATACTGAAACCAATTTCTGAATCAGTTAAACTGTTAGTGAAATATATTTATGAATTAGAACTTGTTGATCATCACCTTTTTATTTGTCAAAGTACACTAACAATTCATTACTGTACTATAACACAAAATATGCAAAATGCCATTTAAAATTTTTATATGGTTAACTCATGAATATCTGTTCACATATATTGCCTACATAGGAACATGCGATAAGTTTGGCTAAAGATATTAACATTTGATGCTATTCATTTTCAATTCTTCCGATTCTCTAGTATTATGTTCTCCAAAAACAAAACAAACAAAAAAAAACGAAACACTGTGCACACATAAGTGAACGAAATATCGTGTCTAATATCTTTATTTTTTTCTTCTTCATTTTAAAAACAAAAGTTTTTTTTCTTGTCACTATGTTCATTCTTTAACTTTTCAGAAAATATTTCTACTGGCTATTTTAAAAAAGACGTTCTGTAAATTATTATTGGTTAGTATTATTAATAATTACAAAAAAAATAGAGTACATTAATGTGGATTTTATATTATATATGTATATATAGTTAGTTAGTTAGTTACAAGGAGTTGGCAAATGCTTTTGGTTAGTTTTCATATCAACCATACTATAACACTTCTTTTCATTATAGTAATATCATCATCATCATCATCATCGTCATCAATATCACCAAATTATATGCAAATTGATATTGAAAATTTTCACAAAATTCAATTGTTATTATTTTAACCTTTTTTTTTAATTTTTCGTTTCACATAAACTGAAATATGAATTTTGAAGTGAATACAACAACTGTTCTTTAAACATCAAACGCCAACTTATCAAGGAAAAGTTTTAAATGTTAAATATAAAACAAGCTTCACAGGTTTATGTTGGGTAGATGATGATGATGATTCATTTAAAGTATTTACAGTGAGATATGAAATAATTTAGCTAGTAAATACTAAATCTGCCCACAGAAATGATTATGTAAATACGATTGTTACTTTATTATATATATATATATATATATATATATATATATATATATATATATATATATATATATATATATATATATATATATATATATATATATTGATCTAAAATTTTAGTGGGTTACGATTTATCGTAATTATGGTTTTCTATGATACTTCACTCGATGTAAATCAGTGATGATGTGGTGTGTGCATGTGGTGTCGACATATATAAATAGTATGTACCATCATTCGGAAATGAAATGCCTGAAGGCAGAAGGTTAAGAAAATCGAAGAGAAGAGAACGAAAACAGTGAGTGATTGGTGGGGAAACAAAAGAACAATCAAACCAGAGACGATTGACTAATACTTAGAAAAAGAACAGTCAAGTTTGAGACAATTGATTAAATTAAGTATTCACTGTATTGTTCTCATACTTTACTATAGTATTCCGTAATATTGTATTCAAATACATTCGATTGTCCCCACTTATGTTCTCGTTCACTACAATGAAAATCGATTTCCTGAAAATTCACATAAAATAACGCAAGTACTTATAAGTAATCAGCAAAATGTCATTACTGAAGCCCTTATTTTACAATCAAAGAATACAAATCCAGTAGTCATTCAAAAACTGAAGTTAATTCACAAGTAAATAATCTTCTTAAGAACAAATAGTTTATTATAAAAGACAAAATTCACTTCTATTTATTACGTTTTGCTAAATCATCTATAATAAAATTCTATATGTGAATCGTGAATCTTTAATTGGAATACATATTCATTAGAATCCATCTTCTCCGTAATGTTATAATGGGGGAAATAAGGAGAATTTTTTGTTTAAACAAATCAGCATCACTCTGTGATTCTTTCATTTTTACATTTTATAACATTAGGCTGTCATTTTAAACTCCATCAAACATTATTCATATCTTGGATAAAAATCAAGTACATTTCCAAAGTCGATTGCATTGCTTACCACATTCATTCATCGTATGTTTTTGAATCTGAAGGAGTGCCTATATCTACAAATGTATTGATAAATATTTATGATGAATATTTTATTTATGAAATCATTAAGTCACTTTGTCCAACTAACGTAATGTGCTATCTTCAATGTTATTCGTGTTATGAATCATTTTATTTTAATTCTATTGCATCTTAATAAGCAGTTGAGTAGGTATTAGATGTACACTAGTTCTAGAATCCTAATTCCTCCTTACTTCAAATATTCATGCATTCGACAAAAGTCCCTATATGACCATTATACAGCGTTACGTAATAAAACTTTAGTCCCGACTGTTAAACATTTGCATAAAATATATACTACAGAACTTCAGTGACGTTGATTTTTATTAACTAAGTGACGACTGAAGATCTATACAAGTTCACACTCTACATTAAAAGTAACACTTCGATATACACCCAGTTTATATGCGAATAACAAAAATGATAATTTTAACTATCTTAATTACAGAGGGCTTTCTGGTCTAAGATTTATAAGCCGAATAGCAGAAATTTAATAACTGATGAATTGAATTTATGTTTTATATTTATAAATCTTTTCCCTTAGTGACTTTATCTAGATGATTTTGATATAAAATTCAGTGTCAACTAACCTGAATACTGCATATTATCTAATATCATTAATATCAAATATAGTTATACAAAATCAAAATGTCTATGTGAAATAGACTGGCATAAATACTAGTAGGTTAGTTTATATTCGGTTATGTTCTTTTATTAGCGTGAGAAAACTTTGAAGGGTTGAATTAATGTAGAAGTGCAGGGATTACTAATTCATTCTAAATTCAGTATAGTCCAAAATTACTTATGTTCAATTACTTTAATAATATTATAGTGTTGAAATTCAAACCCATCCTAATTTGCATGTACCAAATGTACCTACTTACAAATAAAAAGTAGTAGAATATGAATGCCTAAAACATCCTTCTGTGAAGCGGCAAACATCAGATTTCTACATGAAATATATTTAATTCATCATAATATTGATTTCCAGAGATGATATTAAGTGGAGCTGTAAATAAGTGTTTGTGTGATGTCTTTGATTATTTATAGCGGAACTTCTCCAAACATATTATTTATAGTATGATAATTATCTTGGAGTTCGTGAAACACATTTTATTCTGAAGGAATTTTATCTGCACCTCAATAGACTCAAAGCTATTTAAGCAAAAGCTGAATTGGCATATGTTGTTAACTTAAATCCACTTACTTGGATCACCTCAAACAAACATTTCACATCACGGCTTTTCTGGAAGAGAACAATTTAATCAAATATGTTATTCACTCTTCGCATATAGCTACAATAATTTTGTTTTGATAATTATTGTACTACTGCCATTATATAAGAAATATATATATGACTACGAAACAAAACATTATGAAATTTCTTGTTGTTTGCATATTATATCAATAAAGTTCTTTTTTCTGCTTTTTCTTACCGTTATAAAGATTTTCAGACACCTAATAATCACAGCTCAACACCATTGAATAAATCTATTATTAATTCTACGACCACTTCACCAATAGCAAGTTGTAAATTACAAGAAAATTTCTATGTAGCTAACTTATCAGTTGTTGATAGTCCTTGTTCATTATTAGGGAGAAATGAAAGAGTCACTAATAGACAATTCCCTTTATTGTATAATAAAGATGTACAAAAGTTTCCCAATGAAAAATATCTCCCACCTGAAAAACATTCAAATAATCAAACGTTACTAAGGAGAAATGACTATCATAGAGAAGAAATCACTGATGAGAATTTACCTGCAACTAGTATGTCAAAAAATCTATATGAATTACGTTATAATCAACTTGGATTATCGCATAATCAGTTCTCTGGTGAAGCCCTCAGTGATGAACTACAGTCAACATCTCCAGAAACTAATTCACCTATAGTATCCCACTTAACTCCCATACCAATTATCCGATCAAATGAAATAGCTCCTTCCACACCACTTCTACTTTACAACAGTTGTTGTACCAACAGAAAGTTTAGTGTTGGAATGAACCACTATTTGCCACCACTTTTTGGTCCAATCCCTATTCAGTATAATTCAAAATCCTCAAATTCAATTAGTGAACTTTCATCGCCTTTTCTTGGAAATGGAAATCATTTTAGGAAAACGTATCGAGCCCCCGCTAACACTTGTTATCATCACCATCTTCAGAATGGTACAACTAACAATGATACCCGAAATACCATCTACAATAAACGAAACAATCAAGAAGATCTAACTGACCAAACAATCTGTAAATCTAAAATGAATCAGCCAAAGTTACATAACGCTTTAGATATTAAAAATGATGTAACCAACACTTTAAATTGCTGCAGTCCACCAACTGAAATGAACCTTTTACAAGTAAATGGTAAATGTAATACACTAGAAACAGATTCATTTGGACAATATAACTCAAATCATAAACCTAAAAACAGATTAATGAATAATTTATACCCTTTGAATCACACAGAGTTTCAATCTTCCCATATTAATCCTAATCGAAATAATAACAATTGTAATATTAACAATTATCTTAATATGTTCAATTCTGATAATGACTATTATAATAATTCACATTTTATCAATGATGGTATTAATGATAATTTAAAGAATTGTGATACAAACAAGTTAGGTTTAAAAATAATCCCTAAGACTATCCATCATTCTGAATCTAATAAATTGTCATCACCATTATTTGAACATAGACCAAATCTATTATCGACTGATGGAAACCATTCTGGTAGAAATGAAGAAAGTACATTAATGAATACGGTAAGTAATTGATTTTACTATTTTATCATTTTATTTGAATTTTCTGTTTTTATTTCATACTTGTTTAAATACTAGAATAGAGTTTCGTTCCTCTACAACAAAAAAGGAACCTTATCAAGACACTACATCATAGAATCAAGACTATATGCACTATGGATACGATTGAAGATGAAAAAAAAATTGTTTACGACCCTGAAAGAAAATGGATATCCAGAGAAATTTATAAATAAAAACTTAGCCAATAAAATACAGTGTAGAGAATGCCCAACGGTAAATAGAAAGCCTCTATATATACGCTTACAATTCAGAGGTGACGCGCCGAGTGAAATGTTAAGACTTAAGTTAAGTAGATCAATTCAAAGGACTTTCAACGCAGCTAAACTACAACTAGTATTTTCCACACGACCAATAATCACTCCGAGGTTGAAAGATAAATTACCTAGACTAGCCACCTCCTTCTGTATCTATCAATTCAACTGCTCCTGTGGAGCAAGTTATATTGGCAGATGTTCTAGGAATTTGTACATTCGGGCTCGTGAGCACCTACCCGTGTGGTTAAACAAAGGTGTTGTCAAAACTGTTAACAGCTCCATCTTAGACCATTTAGTCCAAACAGGACATACAGCGAACATGAAGCAATCTTTTGCAATAGTTTATCGTGTCAACAGCAGTCTACCTAATTCTGTCAGACTGCGAATCCTACAGACGGCTGAAACAATTGCTATTCGGATCAAAAAGCCAGAGCTTTGTATCCAAAAGAAGTATGTTCAGCCACTCCTTTTACCCTGGCCAACTAGCTAATAATCAATCTTAAAATGTGGTAATCTCATTAATGTTCATTTTATGTCCCAAACTTATTATTATTATTATTATTACTGTTATTATTATTATTGTCTTTACACTTGATAACCCCTTTTTGAGGAATTTATTCAATATCCACCACTGAATCTACTATATTTGACCTAATTATTTTACATATTACGGAATTTCCGATTTGTAACGACTTCTCACTAGAACTCCAGAAGTGTCTCCTGAAGTCAGTCACTAGTGAGCAGGTGATTATTATTATCAGAATGGGTTTTGTGGAGATTTTAGAAATTTCACAGATTGAAATCATGAGTCAGTTGAAGCTAGACCACCATTGAAAACCTGGAAGCACTGGACGGCCGTTTCGTCCTAGTATGGGACTCCTCAGCAGTGCGCATCCACGACCCCGCACCACCCGGGGCTCGAACCCAGGTGCTACTGGCTTCGCGCGCGAGCACTTAACCATTAGACCACTGAGCCGGCATCCAACGATGTTAATGTCTAACTTCAACCAATCCACGAAGTTGCGCTACCGTACACCATTGTCCTCAGTGAGTTCCTATCTCACAACAGACCTGGTTGAACTCCACTGGTAACGACTTCTCAACTGACTCATGATTTCAATCTGTGAAATTTCTAAAATCTCCACAAAACCCATTCTGATAATAATAATCACCTGCTCACTAGTGACTGACTTCAGGAGACACTTCTGGAGTTCTAGTGAGAAGTCGTTACCAGTGGAGTTCAACCAGGTCTGTTGTGAGATAGGAACTCACTGAGGACAATGGTGTACGGTAGCGCAACTTCGTGGATTGGTTGAAGTTAGACATTAACACCGTTGGATGCCGGCTCAGTGGTCTAATGGTTAAGTGCTCGCGCGCGAAGCCAGTAGGTCCTGGGTTCGAGCCCCGGGTGGTGCGGGGTCGTGGATGCGCACTGCTGAGGAGTCCCATACTAGGACGAAACGGCCGTCCAGTGCTTCCAGGTTTTCAATGGTGGTCTAGCTTCAACTGACTCATGATTTCAATCTGTGAAATTTCTAAAATCTCCACAAAACCCATTCTGATAATAATAATCACCTGCTCACTAGTGACTGACTTCAGGAGACACTTCTGGAGTTCTAGTGAGAAGTCGTTACCAGTGGAGTTCAACCAGGTCTGTTGTGAGATAGGAACTCACTGAGGACAATGGTGTACGGTAGCGCAACTTCGTGGATTGGTTGAAGTTAGACATTAACACCGTTGGATGCCGGCTCAGTGGTCTAATGGTTAAGTGCTCGCGCGCGAAGCCAGTAGGTCCTGGGTTCGAGCCCCGGGTGGTGCGGGGTCGTGGATGCGCACTGCTGAGGAGTCCCATACTAGGACGAAACGGCCGTCCAGTGCTTCCAGGTTTTCAATGGTGGTCTAGCTTCAACTGACTCATGATTTCAATCTGTGAAATTTCTAAAATCTCCACAAAACCCATTCTGATAATTAACACTTTATATTAGTCAACCTCAACATTAACGATCTGATTTAGTTTTATATAACAAACAATTCCTGATTCACATATTACAATTTCCAAACGATGTATTTTGCCTTAAATCTGGCCAATTTTATGGATTATTAATCTGGATTTATAATTGTAGAACCTGATGAGAAATTATTGAAAAGAATATTCTTCGTTCATACAATTGTGTTTTTGAATAATAAACATTAGTAGTATATTATAAATTGAAATAAATTTACTCTGGTCAATGTTAACAAAAGAGTCAAATATTGATTTAAAAAGTAGTTTTACTCATTTCTTTTTCTGAACTTTTTTTATCTTAAACCATTATATCTTTCATCATAAATAATTAACTTTTAGTCTGTCAGTAATAGATTGATACATGATAAAGCAACTAGATCATTTATATTTCAGAATACATAAATTCAATTAATGAACCTTGTTGACAGATGTAATCACTATGGAAATATTTTTAATCAAACAGTTTGTTGTAACGGGTGGACTGCAGTTTAGATGCGCAGCGTATTTATCGATCGATTAAGTGACACGTAAACACGTAATGAACAACCTAGAGTCCCGATTGGCCCTGTTTCGCTGTCTAGCCCAGCCAGTTGAGTCCAGAGCGCAAGTCTTAGCCTCTGAGATATGAATCATTATATTTCAGACATACTCTTTTTATATACCAACCAAACAAACCACATCGTACCATAAAACGGAAAACAACATTTGTACAATATTTAGCAAGTGAAATAAATACTGACCAATAGGGAGTATAAATTTAAAGTCTAAGGCCACCATTAGACTTTACATGATAATTATTGTTATATTTTCCTGCTCATCCTAACACAGTTGAGATCAGGAGTCAGTTGAAACTAGACTACTGGACGGTCGTTTTGTCCTATTATGGGACTCCTCAGCAATTCTCATCCACGATCGCGGGGTCCGAACCCAGGACCTATCAGTTTCACGCTAGGTGCTTAACCAACTAGACCACTGAGCCGGCATCCAACTCTGTTAATCTCTAACTTCAACATATCCACCATTGTCATCTGTAAGTTACTACCCAACAACTGACCTGGTTGAACTCCACTGGTCACTGCTTCTCACTTGAACTCCAGGACTCATGATTTCAACTGTTTAAATTACTACAATCTCCACTTAACCCCTTATGATGATATTTTTATTTACTGTGGCCAGTTTAGTTTTGTAATTGAAAAACTAATAATTTGAAGGAGACTTTATTGTGAAACATATTTTATAGTGAATATCATTTGATCTTAAATTACCATTATATTGAGATATGCCGATAAATGTACTAAAACATTTTAGATCTGTAGGGGTCCAAATTAGTGATAAGAATATGATCATATTGAAAGTATACTTAATAATGTGGATTAAGAATTTATTTCTGTAAATGGAATTAGTTTATTAACGTTTGTATGTGTGTAATGTAGTATGTAATGTGTACTTAAATCTAACTGTAGCTCAAACATACTAAGTTACATATAGATCTGAAAATCATTACATAATTGGTAACAAATGACAAACCTAGATCATAAAACAATGTATAATTCACTTTTCAGAAAATGCACACTTATATGACAAAACCATAAATCCATGTAATCACTGACTGTTGGTCTGAAACATGCCAGTAAGTGCAAAACGTATTGGTTAGTATTTTCATGATAATTACATTTTATGGATGGAGAATGTTGAATAACATCCTAAAGTCAGCCTGTTAAGCAGACTTTGATTCATCTATCTTTTTTCTGTGATCCCTAATCTTAATATTATTTTATAAGTTCATTCATTGATCTCATTCATCCCAACGAAACTGCTTGTGTGTACAGCTTTGTAAACTTGTCAATAACTCTTTATCTTTTCTGCCTCTCATTTTATTAATTTTCTCATTTGTGTTAGTGTAACGTCTAGTAAATTGGACCTGACAAATAAGGATCCAATTGTGCACTATTTGTCATTAATTTATTAATGAGTATTTTAACAAAATTAATTGTAGATGGTTAAAACTTGGAATAAGGTTTATTCACTTATATAAAATATATTGTTCTGAATACGGTGTAAGGCCGTACAACATAGTAGGTTAGCAAAAGTGCAAGTTTACAGTTTGAAAACTTACTGTTAATAAAGAATAACAAAAATATAAAGATTAATAGTTTCAGGAACGATAGTGATTTCTAACTAACAAACGTTTTAAAATTGTATATTGCAAACCATGATTCTTTTTTATAGTAGGATCCAATCAAAGTAAAAGCTGAAGGAAGATTTTACTGATGACAATATATTCATAGATTTTGCTTTAAATATGGGTATGATAAGTACCTGAATCTTTAAACTAGAACTTATAATTCTAATTCGCATAATTTGTTGTTACATTGAAAATGTCATTTGTAAAGAATTTAACGTATTTTTAGTTTGAGGCTTTATAGAGACCAACTCAATTCATACTAAGTTCTCAACAAAGATTGACATTCGATGCACAGTACTGATGTTTTATGCCAGTTCAATAATGCTCAGCAGTGCACAATGTTGACCTGTCCAAGTAATTGAACTCAGATTATTCGGCTCCAAAAACCGAACACAATATTTCAGATTGTAACTGTACTTTAACATTTGTAAAAACATGAATAATATTTAAATAATGCTAGTTTCAACCTTCATAATTAGAAGAAAAACATTTTAAGAAT